TTGTATCCTAGTCCTTTCCTTCCCCAATTACATCCAGTTGCCGCAGGCATTCTGCCCATCCATGTCTACTTAAACTCCTTGTAAGTTAATACCAAATGTAATAAATCTTTTAATTTTCTATTAGATTGTTATATTATGATTCAACGGCTGAATCTATCTATTCATGAACATTCATTCAACCGCTGAATCTAACTATATAGAAAAAATAAATAATGTTTGAAAATTTTTTGCTTCCAATGGAACAATCACACGTTCAGTAATTTGAAAATCCACATGCATGTTTTGAATGAAGTTAGGAAAATTTTAAACAACATATTAACCACTTTTTGTTCCGGCTAAAAGGAAGATTATTCATGATAAAATTAAAGAATTTATAAAAAATTACCTTTTTGTTGGGATCTTCAAAAAATTAAATTTTAATATTAATAAAGTAAAAAGCAATAAATCCCTTACCAACTAAATTGCATAGGTTTAAAAGGTCATATTTAAAACAGAGAGTATCAAATCTAACCGTTGAGTTCATCAGTTCATGCATGGAAAATTAGAAATGGGCTTTTCTTTATTGGGCCATTAAGATGAACAAGTTTGCAGTTGTAGTTGGTAGGCAACCCAGCCTAGCCCAGTAATAAGGACTAGACTTGGAGTCAAAGATCTATTTATTGAGGTCAAGCCCACAAAATTGCGCTTTTGTTTTTTTCTTCCCCACAACGCAACGCGGAAGGAATCTCCCAAACTGTTTCTTTCTCACTTTCTCCAGCTTTTCTCTTCCTCTGCAACATAATTTCCCGTAGGGATTCAAGATACTCGAATTTAATCATCAGAACCCCCATTTTATAGACCCCAAGTGATCTTGTTTACGACTTCAACTTGGGATTCCCTTAATCGGATCGTAGAAGATGTCACGGCCTCGGGTCACCATCACCTTGGGGCGCTCCGGTCAGGTGCCTCCTTCTTCATTCTTCTCAACTTTTGTTTATCGTCTCTGTTTATTATTCTTAAAATGCTTGTTGGGAATGGTTTATCTTCCCTTTGAGCTTAATTGGAGTGAATTTTTGGGCGAACCCCAAATTAGTACAGCTAATTGAACATGGTTTTCTCCATTGGTTAAATTATAATTTCAGGTGGTGGAGAGAGGATGCAATGTTGTTGGGGATTCCGGCAGAGTAAGCAAAAGATCCATGGTACGTAATGGTGTTGGTGGCATGATGCTCAATGGGAAAAGGTGTGTGTTTTGTTCTTGTAAATGTTTGAACTTTAATGTACTGGATGTGTTTCTCTACTTGCTTGAATCATGGGATTGGTTTTGTTAGGTTGAAATTCATCTATTGGGTGAAAATAACTTGTGGGCTTCTATGTTTCCCCTTCATTAGTTTTGGAATTCTAGTTGCTGGAATCTTGAAATTGCCCAATTTTTATTATTTAGATTTATGCGGTGTGAATGTCTGTTTTCCAGGCAGCAAGGAGCTAGTGCTAAATGGGGTTTAGGTGTCAATAGACGGGAAGGTAAGAACTACTACTTGTTAGATTGACTTGGTGATTGCTATACATCAATTCCTTTGCTTTTATTTGACTGCCTGTGGTGCCTTGAGATGCCTGAAGGTGGTATTGCAAAAAATGATCTTCGACACAAGTTGTTGCGCAAACGCCAGCAGGTTCAGGGTGTTATCAAAGAACGTAACAAGAGAGAACTACATGAGAAGCATTCTAAATCTGTTATTCCACCAGCAAATCTTGACATGCTGCCATCCATGTCTGAATTCAATAGAAGTACCCATTTGAAGCAAATTCCCACTCGTGGAACTGCTAATGATTTGCATCCAGGGGACTTGTTGAGGAAATCTATCCCATCTCACACAATGACTGGAACAAGAGGTAGATCACCTGAAAGAATTTTGAGGAATTCTTCAGCACTCTTGCCCCCTGCAAGTTTTGATGGGATGTGGCAAAGAGTACCGACTGGAAGGGATACCAATGCTCCAAGAGCTGGATTTTATTCAAGCATCACAAATATTGATGCTTCTAGGCATTCAGGCCTTGCTTCTGCAACAGTGAAAGCCATCCCTGAAACTGCCAGGCCAGTTGCACGAGTTGTACCCTCAAGGGGCATGATTCAGAGAGGTTCATTTGGGGTACATCCTTGTTCTAGTTTTAAATTAGCTCCCTTTGGTAAATATGTTGTTTTGTTTTTCTCATTTCGTCTAATTTATCCTGGCAAACAACGTGCTTTTAACCATGGCAGTTTTGAATTTATATGCAAATTTTGGTTCTAACCGTTTCATTTCTGGAATTTCTACAGATAGAGGAACTACCTGCTGTTCCTGACTTTTTGCATTCACTTGGTTTGGAAAAATATATTACCTCTTTTCAGCGTGAAGAAGTAAGTAATCTCTAACCTGTTTCTATCAATTGTTTCCAAATAATGAGCAATTTTGGTGGGATATGGATTGCGTGTGTGTGGTTTTGTTTAAAAAGTAACTTGATGCCCTTCTTAATTCAGTTTTGAGATAGCAAATTCTATCATCAAGATATTTTTCTTCATAAACAAAGAACAAACATTAACAGGACCAAATCTTCCATAGAAAAGAGAGTAAAGTTGCAAATAAGGATGTCAACTTTATAATTTTTTCTATTTAAGGATGTTAACTTTGTCAATTTCTAAATAAATATCCCAATTTTCAACTTTTTCTATCTAAGGATGCAAACTTTTAATTTTTTCTATTTAAGGATGCTAACTTTCAATATTTCTGTTAAAAAATCCATTTGCCAGATTAGCATCATTATTAATCCTTAAATAGAAATAGTTTAAAGTTGGTATCCTTAAATAGAAAAAGTTGAAAGTTAACATCCTTAAATAGAAAAAATTAAAAGTTAACATCCTTATTTAGAAACTAACAAAGTTAACATCTTTAAATAGAAAAAAGTGTAAAGTTAATATCCCTATTTACACCTTTTCTCATAGAAAAGAAGCAAGCTTAATTTCATGCTTTATTGGCATATCAACTGTAAAGATGTGGTG